GCTGGTCCAATTATTCCTCCAATTTAAATAAACGGCCCCGGTTAAATGATGAATTGCTAACAAAAATAGTGCGATAATCAGATGACCAAATGTTGACTTTTGATATTCTTGTATAAGATAATTTTGTCTGTTGGCTTCAGCATTTAAGGAAAATTGACATTATTTTGTCTATAAATAAAATACGAACAAGAAAATTTCTGTCATTATTTGCACGCTCCACTACGATTTCACATTTTGACCATTTTGCCTTAATGAAGTATTTTTATTCTGCAAAACATATATCATTACATTGTAAACAGTTTGAGTTTTCCTTTGTGATTAAGTTATTTGAAAGAATTTCTGCCCTCGTACTACCATATAGTATGATCTTACTAGGGATTTTTCTTTTGTAAATATATACTTCCATGTTGCAAGTATTTTTTTGAGTCATAAACCAAACGAAATCTGTGAAATGAATGTATGATTTAAAGGTCATTTCGCTTGACTAGTAGATAAGCTTTCTCTATATAAACAGTTTACCTAATTTTGGTGAAATTTTTCGTCACGCATTTTTAAAAATCAATCCCTCATTTATTTATGGAAATTTCGGAACGCGGTTTTCACCACTGTTTTCGACTTATAAAGCTCTACATTGTTAAGTGAAAAACATGTCGATTTCTTTTGTTGAAAATGAGATATGCATTTACGACAAAAAAAATGCCAATGTTTCCTTAGTAGCACATAGGGTTTTGTAAGGTGAAAACGGTGATGAAAGCTGCGGTACGAAATTTTCTTAAAAAATAGAGACATTGATTTTGAAAAATACGTGATGAAAAATGCTGAAAAGAATCTTTAGTTTTTTCGTTATTTGAAAACCAAATAATAAAGATAAAGAAAAGTCAAAAGTGGTTTTGAACGCCTTTATGCATTATCTCTAACACTGTCCCTTACAATTTTGATACAAACGCATCAAAGGAGAAAATAGTGGCATTTATATTAATTATATAAAGGTAATTTCAGTGTCTCACTGTGTATTGTTGTATTGTGTATTTTAGATGCATTAAAATTCTAAACTGAAAACGACGTCAAGTGTACATTCGGTCTTCGATTTTGGTCAAAAATTTTTAAAATAATTACCTGCAGGATACTCGTTTTACGCAAAGATTCTATCACAGTGCAAAAATCTTGGCACTTGAGGCGAAACTGAAGCTTGGCAGTAAGTTTCTAATGAAATGCTTGTACTACAGGCAGCTAAACTTGATGGTCACGGTGGTGAGTAACACATTCGACCATTATCTTGACGTCGTTTTTTCTTGGTGGCACGTTATTAACCCTTGCGTCTAAACTAATCAGACTTAAAACTATATATAAATATTTTGTGGTTGTAACGGTCTTCATTAGTTATTCTACACCACACATGAGTCATAAAAATCCTCATTAAAAGTAAAGCTTTCGTATCCACTAGACATAACCGTGTATTATTGTGGCGTGCATTTTCTACTCTTAACAATGATGAAATTACAGCGAGACACTTCTTGCTATGCTAAATGGCTGGCGGGGTAATTCTCCGTAATAAATTAAGGGCGTAATCCCAATAAACAGTGAAGATAACAGGCTCATCGGAATAATTCCCCATGTTTACGATCTCTTCTTCTTTAACTTATTATGCCCCACTAAGTGCGTGCTCACTCCCTTTCCCCATCCTTGCAATAGAGGGGCATTATTTCAAATGGAATTAAATTGTAAATTTCAACTTTTTAAGTGCTCTCAAGTATTTTATTGTACTTTACTTGGTAATAAATTAACAAGTTTTTGCATCATCGCATCGGCATCAAATTGGTTTACTACACGTCGTCTAGAAAGTGCTGTTATAAATATAATGAAATGAGAATACATGAAACAATGCTACCGAGTTCTAATCTTATCGATTCGTGGACGGTACATTACTATAATCTTTCCCATCGGTTTTTTATTTTCAGTAACTATTTTTATTTTTATTATTGCTTTCTGACTTAACCTCTTGCGCAAAATACATGCCTCTGTGTGTGTTCTTATTCCGATGTCACAACTACAAATTCCATATCAAATCAATGCACATGTGTGTTGGTATCTACATTCTGTAACTAGTGTGCAACATTTTTAGACGTACATATTTGCTACAAATTTGTTAGACAGTCAATTTCGTTTACTTTAAAATGTCATTACATAATTTATGTATTCTCTGTGTCTGTACAATTTGTAATACCTAATTTCAGAATTCTGTTAGTTAAATTTTACTTTCATTGAAATTTCGCTAAGAAAATAACAGATCTAATGGTCAAATTTTATTCAATGTTTTATTTTATTATGCAAAAAATATGTTATGAAAAATATATTCCGACATACATGTGTTTCCGAAGTAAGGAAATTAAGTGTTGACAATTATTCGTATATTGAAATATATATTTTTAATAAATAAATAAATATTAAATACATAATAAAATAATTGCACTACTTGAATAAGGTTTTTTGACCAGGTGTAGCGATATTTAAAAACCATTCGAGAACATCAAAGACCGTTCGCGAACGAATTACATATAGATACAATTTTAACACGGTCGTTTCAACATTAAATTAATTTTATAAAATTGGTTTGCATTAATTTATTTATAATGTTTTTTCGAAGCATTTTTGTCGTTGTTCGTTTCTACATTAAACACAAATCAACTACTTTTGATTTTCAGGACTGACCGAAAAAGTACGTTTTTGATAATTGCATAAAATAATAATGTATGCTTTTTCCAACCAAACAGAATTTGTTAGTGATGAGATTTCATGAAATGTGTCGAACAGTTTAATATTTTTTGTTGATATAAACAATAATATAAAAACAATATTTTAGGTGTTCCGTTCCATTCAGTGAAAATTTATTAGTAAGAAAATGCATATAAACTGTAATTTTAGTACAGATTTCAAAAGTAAATATCATATAATACATTCAAAGAACCATAAATAGCTATCACGAAAATTCTGGTTGAAAAATAATAATCTACGCAGACGGTGCATCTATATGAAATTTAAAAATTAAGTTGCTTTTTCGCCCTAGAAAATGTATTATTTAGATCACATTAAATATTAATTAGCATTCATGACTTTTTAAGTTAACTTTTAATTTAACAGTTTATTCGTCTATGATCTTGTTCGTATAATATCTCATAGAATAATATTTAATTAACTGAAATCTTACTAGCTAAAATCTTTAATGATATTTCTCACAAATGCCACTATGTAAATTTTAACTCGATATACTACAATACGGTGAAACTACAAAACTGTTTGCTTTTTTTGAGAACGAATCTTATATATTTTAGAGACCACACGCGTGTCGTCCAAAATTCTATTTTTTTATTTTTTACCTGTTTACTTGCTTAAAAATTTATCGTAATAAATTTTATTAAGATAAACACAGAAGTTTAAAACACGTACATTATTTACTTTATTCAAAAACAACACAATAAACTCCGATTAGTAATTTGATATTGACAATTTTTTTAATAATATTAAAAAAAACTCTGAAGAACCTTTGCAAATAATTGTTAGGTAAATTTATATTTCTTAATTTTACACATTCGCCAGTTCTGTTTTAACTAATTGGAATTCTTTTTGCATGATACAAATACATAAATCACCTTTACATTAATGCGACGCAAATAAATTTTAAAATAATCTTGTGTAACACTATAACAAAATCACGATTTTTTGTGCTTAACATAAAAAATATAATTCAAGAGTAGATGTGGTTGTAAGTTAAACCATTTCAGAGTAAATTTTTGATTTATCTATTTCTATAATAATAATAGTAGCCGTTTTAGAACTCTTTTTGAGAAATAAAAATAGGTATGCATTTTGTTAAAAAAATATAGGTAATAAAAATTACAATTAAATAAAGGAAGCACGTTTTTATTTTGGTCTGAAATTAAAAGACACTGTGGGAAAGAGTTAAGTAAAGCACATGTGACATTCCCTTACACTCTCACTATCAATTCGTACCTCAAATTAATTTTTAACCAGAAATATAAGTATTCTTACAAATGCAGAGTCATTTTGTGTGATAAATAATTTAAACGAGTTGTTTCATGAAAACTGATACTTTAAATACACCTATAAAAAAACAATTCCATTATCCTCTATTTTGAATAAAATATTTAATGTCAACAACTTTACACTTAAAAAATGTACGCCTTGTAATTACTTATGAATAATTTGTGACAGTAACATCTGTCTCATTCAGTTGTGGGATGAAGCAGGTCTAGTTTCAGCGTCGATGTAAAAATAAATCTACCTATACGGATAATAACTAAAGTCGTCCAGCGTTTTCATAAAAAAAAAAAAATAAAATATTCATTGTTGTATTAACTTTTCACACTGTATAGCGCACACAAGAACTACTAACTTAACAAATGATGCAGTGGACTGACAGTAACAAGAGTAATATATTTTTTAACAAATCAAAATCAAGCTGCTTTTGTAGTACGATAATTGAATTAATTTGGTTTCATCAATGTTTTTTATTCATTATTTATATCATTTATAGTTTAAAAAAATGTGTGCTATGTAAAAGACAGCAACTATTGAGATACTCGAACACCAATATTTTTCTTAGACGTTTGTTTGTTTCATGTTTTTGAAACACTTTGTAAATAGTTTTTGTAAAAATCAAAAAGCATACTTTACATTTTCCTGATTATATTGCAACATTTAGATAAAAATAATAAATAAAAAAGAGGTGTAAAATTTGCGTCTTTTATGTGATTATTTGATAATCATTTGTATAAAATGCAAATAGTGTCGTTTTGAAACGAATTAAGGGTTTGAAGTTGTGTAAGCAATGCCTTAGCATAAAAGGCAACGAAATGGAAAGTTATTTTGTTATCCATAACGCTATTTACACGATTTTGGTATCCTACTTAACACACACTTTGCTTATACATTCATATAAACAGTCGTGTCAATAGAGTTAATAATAAATGATGTAAACTTACCGACGGATTCGGCATACACCGGCGCGCCATGGGCTCCGGGCTCCGGTAAGTGGGCGAATATCTTCCCGCGAAACAGGCTCCGGTCGAGGTGATGGGCCCGTGCAAGCCCGTGGGTCCCTTGGACCCCATCATCTTGTCAGGCGAATACATCACAGTCAAGTCGCTTACCGAAATCTACCGATCATAGCAACGAAAAACCGAAAAACTAACAGTCCTTGAGCATCTCGCACCCGGAATCGGACTCGTCCAAAGGCATGGTCTTAACTCTTCGCGACGTGCCACATGTGCCTAGTCCTTGTGCCTTGCCGGCATGAGCAGACAGCTGACAGTCGGTGCCATTGTGGCAGTACTGCAAAATTTGGCAATGGCACCCTCGGACCGGATTTATTCGCCCCAGAGTTCTAAGGGTTGACTGAAAGCGAACTGGCGCCTGCCATTGGAGTCCTGACGGCGCTCGGGGGATGGCGGGGTGCGCATGTGCGGCGTCCCGACGCCCGCCCCTACTTCTATATCTGAGGCCGCATTCGCCTCCAACAAATTAGTGGCATTTTGATGGGATATGGATTTTTCGAATTGTAATCAAAAGGGGTCATAAACGCTTTTTGATGAGGAACAACGGAGGCTTAAATTGCCGCTTCCGTCCGCGGGCTGCCCCCAATCACTGCCGTAAAATCTCCGCGCGACATGCGTGCCGCAAATTCAGATTCAACTGCATGTATTGTATAGCGTAAATCAATTGCGTTCTGTAAAATATCTTGCGAAATAACCATTAAATAACTAATATTGATTGAAACGGTCGCACTTCTTTGCTATATATAGTTAACTGATTTTGCTTTCTAGGCGATCAAAACATTTAACACTAAACTTGAAGTAATAATGATAATTATTATTATTATCTTTCATCGTCTCACAGTAACTCATTTACAAGACAAAACTAGATAATTGTAAATATGGATTGTCAATATAAATATTCTAATACAGTTTTTTTACACTATAATATTGTGCTATATAACATAATAAAACATGTTTACGCCAACTCTAAAATCAAACTAAATAATAAATCTTTATAGTAACAATAAAACTAATTTGACACATTTAACTAATGTAGACTACACAAACAAAAACTACTATTAATAATAATATAAAGGCATGAAGTTAAGATTCGAAGATATCATTATGTAATTTATTTGCATGATTGCGCTTAATGTAGAATAGAAATCGGGGCTGAACCTGGTGTCTCGACGACGGTACTAATCAAATAATAGTATTCATAGCAATAAATAAATATTTTAATCCAACGAACCGAGATTCATAGTGGATATAGTTAAAAATCTTATATACTAGAACATACTTAACATACCTAAACAGTTTGTGTTATTTTCACAAGATCACAATAAAAGTGAACGTGTTTGGCGAATTAGAATAATTTGTAATCGAGTCGTCCTTAGACAGTATGTCGGTGATTAAACCACATTGATAAATGTCAAATAATGACAATCTAAAACATGGAGAACGAACACTTTTTAATGAGATGTTTAGAAAGTTTAGTAAAATAAGTGCGAATTTACTAGGAAAATTGGTACCTAGTTAATTAATTCCATTAAATAAATGAAATTAAATTACAATAAAACCTGAAAATGTTGTCCATTTGGTTGTAAGCGTAAATGAACTTTTCGTTTAACTCTATCAATCACATGACACATCTCTGCATTATTATCGTTTATGTCGTTAATTTTTTCTGCTGTTCTCAACGTTAATTTTTCCATATTATTGACAAGTTCTTGCTTCGGTTATCAAAAATTTCCGTAACATTGCTACAATGGTTCTAGCCGAATCACATTATTATAATTTGTCACGATATACCTTCCAAAAATATCTGTCATATCAGTTCAGGGAAGACATACGGATTCAATTCCAAAGATGATTGATTACAAATTATCTTGTTGGTCATATAGTTTTACTTGTAGACAAAAGAAAGAAGTTTTTAATGTTAACGTTAATTATGGAATCCTCCTCGATCTCTTAGTAACATTATTTATTAGTTTACACAAAAAATACAAAAATACCAAAATTATTGTGGATGAAATGGAGTCACTACCATTTTAATTTCCATCCTTTTTACGCTACCATTCCACTCTACTCCGTTCCTGACCTTACAAGGGTGTAGACTGTAGAGGAATAAGTTTTTGTTTTTTAATATTTCTAGAATTTTTCTCGATGTGTCGTGAAGCCTAAAAATAGTTCTCCCGTTTCTGTCCTTCTGCTTCTCTGCCTGTCTGTCTGTCTGTCTGTCTGTCTGTCCGCCGTCAGTGACGATTTTTGTTAGACAGGTAACCTCTGAAACTACCGGATCGATCGTTTCTAACTTATATGTGTATTATGAATATCATATAGATGGTAAAACCCTAACCAAACTTTGTCTAATCATCCCTACCATTATTCTGACGTCATCTCAAAACTGTACCAAGTCAATGGGTTTTAAATTATACAAAATAACATACGCTAAACATGTAGTTCATGAACCCGTGGTGAGTTTTTACCCATCCAGACTGTTGGAAAACAAAATCGAAGTTTTATTGCAACATTTTGCAATTTAATTTTGAAAATGCATTACCGAATGCTTGGAAATATTGCAGAAGTTTTAAAGTTACCGTGAGCATGATAAATTTTTAATCAAAATATATGTATTTATTTAGCTTTTTATTCATGTTCTATACCAAATTTAACTGGGTGGGACAAAACTTTCCGTGGATTGTTTGTTGCAGATGTATCAACACAAACAATATTTTTTACTGTATTTGCTGTATTGATCTTCTTTTTCATTTTACATATTTTTGATGAGCGATTCAGAAAGTGAATTTGGAGGCACGCTTTCAGAAATTATTGAAATTTTAATTTGAATAAATAAAATTTGATTTTGTATTTTTAATTTTTTTTTTTTTTTGAAACTTTATTTTTTCGTTGTCGTAGTCGTAGTCGTAGAAAAAGTATAGTACACAACTCGAGTGGTAAGCCTATTACACACTACCTCGCATTACGCCACTCGCTGCGCTCGTGGTTGTAAACTTCGAGGTCGTGTGTAATAGGCTCTTTACCACTCTTCTTATGTAATCTACAATTATTCACTAGTAGTCTGTCTGTCCGTCTGTCTGTCCGTCTGTCTGTCCGTCTGTCTGTTCGTCTGTCTGTCCGTCTATCTGTCCATCTGTCTGTCCGTCTGTCTGTCCGTCTGTCTGCCGTCCCGGATTTTTATTAGACAGATAATCTCCGAAAGTACTGCGTCGATTGTTTTCAAATTTTGTATTTATATTAGGAATTTTATATAGATGGTAAACTGCTAACCAAAATTTGTCTAATCATCCCCACCATTAATACGATGACATCACTTCAAAATTGTACATAGTAAATGGGTTTCAAATTGTATAAAATAACATAGTCCTACACTTGTAGTTTATGACTTCGAGTTTTTACCCGGAACGTCCAGATTTTTGAAAAAAAATCAAAATTATGAAACAACATTTCGCAATTTAATTTTGAATCTACAAAACCGAATGCTTTGAAATCTTGCAGATGGTTTACAGTTACGATAAGCATGATAAATCTTTAATTAATTAATTAATTAATTAATTTACCTCCATCCTTATTTTTGTATTAATAATAATAATAATAATATTTACTTATCACCTCCAAAAAATGAGATGACGTCAGCTCAAAAGTTTGCCGAATAAATCCTTTCTAAAATGTACAAAATATGATGAGTCTGTACTTGTGATTTATCATTTCATTCATATTTTTTGGATTTGCTTAGCAGGTCGCTCAAAAAAATTAATGAATGAGTCAATTATTTTATTGGTTAAGCTCACTCTATTTTCCCGAAAATTTGGAGATACAACCCTGTTGTACTACATTGCACCAACCCAATTTGATAGACACAAAATTTTGTAAAGTAAAAACTCGTTTGAAACATAGGTGTAGCATGCTTATTTATATTTACTTTAACATTACAGACGGGCATTTGTTTTGTTGCACTGAGTAGGTTCCGTGAATAGACAAGTTATAATGAACCAATTGTGAATTACACCATCAAAAACTAAAATAAAATCCAATGTTTTATACAATAAGCGGAAGTCGAAGAGATAAAAAAATCTGGAGGACCAATCGGTATTGTTTGCAGTTTCTCTTTTCGACTCTCACGTGTACAATCTTAACAAGCGTTACCGTTTGTTGTCTTAAATTAAGAATGGTTATTCATAAATGATTTTCAGTCGCCTCTGCTAATATACATGACATACGTGAGTAAACTGTTTCGTTATTTTATTGATTTTAAATCAATATTCAAGACGACCCAATTCATTTTTCCGAAAATTTGGGAACACAGTACTTTTATTTTTATTATTACACTACATCTATCCAACCTGATATTTCTGTCCTTGCAAAAATCTTGATGACGTCGTCGCAAATTTTTTTTAAAATACCGCGCTACAAAAATGTAATGAGAAAAAAAAACTTAATAAGCATGCAGTCGTCATGTTTCCGAAAGCGACGGAAGTACTGTCTAAACTCTTTAGACCAATTTTTCAAAACTGTATTTTGTAGTGCGCCACTCGCGTCTCGGGCTCTTATCTTGTTTGGTCTATAATGACTGGCTTCACTACCTTGGCGTAAAATATACTACTTCAGTGTTAAAATATATGTTGCGTGGTAAGTGCCAATCATTTCTAATGGAAAATTTTGAAAATCATTTAATTTATGGGTTTAATGATAACTTTACCGCTTTTTCTTGCTTACTTAATTTAATTATATTTAATTTGAATTCTTAATTTGCAAAATAAACGTTACAAGACTTGTACTTTACACCAAATAATTAAAAATGTCATTTTGTTTTATAAGACATGTTAAGTAGTTGCATATGCATGTTTTACATATTTAGCTGCATATCGTTAATAAAGTTGTGCATATTTTGACCCAAAATGTGCGCATATTTTGCGCCTTAATTATAACATATTAGTTTTATATAAGACAAATTTTTCAAAATCGTGTCTAGAAATCCAGTTTTCATGATATTCATAATTTTTTAGCGTTATAAAATTCTGCCTTGTCTAA